AATTATAGCCCCGGCCTGTATTAGCGTCCGGCTATTATTTACCCCCGCCGACAGCAAAACCGGCCATTATTAGAGACCCGGCTGCTAATGGAATACAGGCCAATAGTAGAGGATTTACGGTAGTATACCTTTAAATGGAAACTCCAATTTTTCTTTATGTTAACGGTCACATTTCGAAAAGCTCCTATGGAAACTTCTTTTTTTTTTCTGCATTGTACAAGTCACCTAATCTGCAACTGGACTTTACTGCCTTGTAAAAAATGGAGAAGACCACAAGTAGTTGGAGGATAATGGCGTGTTTGGATTTATACGGAGACTGTGGCCATTTCTTAATTCATGGGAACGCGGAGTACGGACTCGCATCTTCGCCAAGTACAGGAAAGTGTGGACTCGGGGAGAACGGGAGTAAGCAGCATAAATATGGGTCAACTGGAGCAGAGGCGTACTCGTGACGCCACCCATGTTTGGTCGTCTGGAGCTACATTTTACCTCCTGTTATTAATAGTCTCTAGATAATAATAAATTCTTACTTTTTTCATTTAGTGCAGGGATAATAGTTAACACAGTCAGATAAACATAAATAAAATTAATATTTTCCCTAATAAAACCAAAAAATCACCATGAGAGCCAGCGGTACTTCACACATGGCTATGCAGAGAGAGGGCTGCTGCCGACGGGCTAACATTGCGGTTAGCCTCGGAGGTCCACTAGTCGCCACGGAACTTTTTCTTCAAATTATGCACTAAATCAGTAAATGGGCCATATAGTGACGCTTAAAAGTATAATGTTCTCGCCTCAAATGATCTAAAAAATACTTTTATAGAACAATGGCAACAGAAAAAAAAACTTTTAACTATACTCTGACCTCAGTCAACGCTCCATTGGTAGCTGCTGCTGCAGTGCATGCTGGGATAGCTGTCAATCTGGAGAACGGACAAGTCTGCTCTGATGCATGCTGGGTAAATAGGGAGGGGCAAGAACAACATCTAGGGACCTCTCGTTATCGGCCTTTTCTTGTGAATTGGAACTGTACTAGGGCTGAGGCTGATGACGTTTCACGAGTACACGAGCAAATTAGAACGCACAAGTACGCATATTGAGAAACGGCGCGTGTATTTTTGCGATGATGAGTCGTGGATGAAATGTGGATATATCTTGTGTGTTTACTTTTTCTGCTGCCATGTTGTTTTCAATAGTTATCTTGTTAACAACTGTATTTATGTGCAGTTTAATTGCAATTATTATTTTATGGAATTGCAAAAAGTTGTATTTTTTTGAAACTGGCAGAATAGCGAAAGTTTTACACACATCTGTCATAGAAGCTCAACTTTTGATGAGCAAAAGCAGAGAAAATATAAAGTTAGGGGTTGAACTTCCAGATTACATGATAAATATGAGCCTGGTTCTGCTGCCGATTTCTTCCTGTTAAAAGGGAGTTTTTCCTCCCCACTGTCGCTAGAAGCATGCTTACTGTAAGGGATTGCCTTCGAGTCAGTGAGTTGATGCAATCAACTGGTTTTCCTTAGATAGAAAAATTTTGAATCAATTTGACTTTATGATCTGGTGAACTGGAAAGTGCCTTGAGATGACATGTGTTGTGAATTGGCACTATAGAAATAAACTGAATTGAATTGAATATAGAATGAAGCAGAATGATGAAATGCTGTCCCTATGTCCTCCAGCAGCTTAAGCCTATAGCAGCATAACTAAAGAGATTAAGTCATGATTCCTTAATCTGGAAGAACAGGCCACTGCTGTCCCTTCATTAAACAATAGCAGCATATTTTTCTTCATCAAGGAGAATAAGAACAGAGCCATACCTCTGAAATTGCGTGAATTGTGTTCATAACTTTTAAATATGATGGAAAATAAGTGACTTTTAATATCTCAAAAGCTACATTTGTATTCAGCTTTGCTGAGTAGAATTATTTAGAATAATTAGTTTTTTGTGAGAATTTGGACGGAAAAGACTGAAATCCTCCATAAATCAGTAGTTTTCCACTCTGTGGTTTCTTATCATCATCATATTTGTGGACTAACACAAGTACATGTCCTTGTTTCCTCACTGATTTACGCCATCCCTGCCTGTCCTATCAGTTTAGCATGGCGGCCATGTCTTTGTAGGTTAGCAGTTGTGCCAGGATGGATCAGAGCTCTTGTCAGAGGTTGGGAATATTGTTTCATAACCAAACCCTGCTTTAAACCTCTCGGCTGTTTTCTCCCTGACACATCTGGCTTTCACCGCTCGCTTTGTTCTCCTAATGTTCTGTAACAAACCTCTGAGGCTGAATGTGTAATAAGACTCAATTAGTTTTTTTTTTTTTTCAGTGGATTTATTTTCCATGAGTCGATGCAATCAGCTGGTTTTCCTCAGATAGAAAACGTTGAACAAATCTGACTGTATGATCTAGTTGAATTGTCTCTGTGATGCGCATTGGAACGACATGTGTTTGACTTGGCGCTATTAAAAAAAACTGGACTAAATTGAAATTGTATTATTTTGGCTCCATAGAGTAAATGAGGCTAAAGAGGATGATTGCAGAATTTTATTTTTAATGAAAAAAATGTAAAATTAGCTTCTAAGGCATTTTTTCCACCGTATTATTTAATTTCTGCTTTAAAGCTGCGGTAGAGTCAGTTTTAGGAGACGGTAAAAATTAAAGGAGAAGTCCGGTCAGCAAGGAATAATCAATGGATCATTATTTATACCTAAAAATAGAACTTTGTGAGGACTTAATGAATTTAGCGTTAATAAGTATCTCGCGATCACTGAGTTCGGAGTCGGCCATTTTTGCCCATATATAGTAACGCCTCCCTTCTGCCATTTATTTCTATATTTATTTCTATAGCACCAATGTCATCAATGTCAGCTTAAGACATTTCATAGACAAAAATCAATCAAAGAGTCCTGGTATATTGTAGCCTCGTGAGACCATCCTGATCTCGCGAGCTTTCAAGGTTTCACTCGCAGATCAGTCTGGCTACTTTCCGTTAAAGAAAATTTGGAGCCGTTCACC